TATATAAAATTTTTTTACATAGCAATTTCTGACACATCAATAGAGAAAATGAATGGGAAATTTCCTGCTGAGAGCTTCTCTAATAGTAGGCGGTCACTGCTGGGAGTGGATTAGTACATTATAAATAATTCTGTCCTCTGTCATGTTCCAGAACTTCTCTGCTGTAATGAACCAGACCCTCATAGACGGGACTGGCTTGCCAAAACTCTGGAGTCTTATGTGCCTCACTCACTTCACAGTAAAGTGATGGTGTCTGCACAGGATGGACAACGTTTTCAGAGTGAAGATGTGACGTACGACAAGGTGTGCAGAGAACTCTGGTCATGTGTGAGGGAGGTTGTGATTTAAGGCAGACATCCAGCTGCAATGAAGAAAATTGTCCATTCAAAAATAGGAGCCATGACGAGGGAGACAAAAAATTACTGGGAGGAGTCAAAGTGATTAAATAATAATGGAATAAACTGGAAAAAAGGGAAATCTCAGAATGAGAAGGTTGATTGAAAGGCAGAGAAAAGTAGAACAAATCCACTGTACAGATTCAAGCTGTATTATGGAAATTAAGTGGTTTTGTAAAAGGACAGATTTGTGAGAAGATTCTAAACTGAGGTTTCAGAGGCAGCCATTTTCTGCTCATCATCTTTTTCCACCGTCACTGACCCTTATTTGTGCCTTTAATTCAGGTACTTTGCAGAAAATGTACTTGGCTTATTTTCGAGACCTGCAGCCTTTACATTTTTTTCTGTCGTTATCTATTTCACTTTTCTTACTCCTTCACTTTCAGTTCTTGAGATTTTCTGTTTCTCAATACCACTGCACTCAGACTCTGAACTGCTAACATTCCCGTCTCCTTGGTTGCAGGTTTTAGTCGATGCTCCCTGTTCTAATGACCGGAGCTGGCTGTATTCTTGCAGCAGCCAGCAGGGGGAGCAGAGACTGAAGGAAAGAGCAAGACTGCCTGTACTCCAGGCTCAGCTGCTTAGGTAAGTCCAGTGCCCAATATAAAAACATATCTGCTATATGTTTCTGCTATATTCACCTATAACATTACTGTGCAAAATAGTTTTTAAAAAATTACGTTCTTTTTAGTCAGATGAGGGATTATGAAATATTTCCCTGTCTTGTACTGTTGCAGGCGATATAATGTAAACACATATTTGGAAAACAACATAAATTGTGCAACCTTACAGGTGTGCACTGTCACTGGTGCGTCCAGGGGGTCTTGTGGTCTATTCAACCTGCACATTGTCCAGCTCGGAGAACTACGCTGTGGTCGAGACGGTGCTGAATGACTTTCCTGAGGCGGAACCTGAAGACCTGTGGGATGAGATAGTCGCTCCTTTATCAGAACACTTTGTGTTCAGACCCTCTCACCCTGGTTATGGAAAGACCTCCCACAAGCACTCGTTGCTGCCTCAGGAGGGTGCCCTGTCCTCTTATCCCCATAGACTGGGCATTTTAGTGGTTCCTCAGCCTGGAAAGACCTGGGGACCCATGTTTTTGTCTCGGATTAGAAGAAGGACATAGCGGCTGACTGTCCCGTGAAGATATTTGGAAACAAATGGAATCTTTTGAGATGCAAAGTACCTCGCAGAGCTGACTCACATGTAGAAACTGTCAAACCTAGTAACTCACATTTGACCTGTGATACTCTTAGAGGAGCACAGTGATAGCAGCAGTAGTTAAGACATGTAGAAATAAACACGTCAGTGTTCCAAAGCCAAACTGTTGCAGGTGAATGAGTCTTCACCTTTAGAGAGGAAGTGTTGCAGCTAAAGTGTTTGTGGTATTAAGCAGCAGCTTTTTGAGTAAGTCCGTGTTTGTGTGAACACGAAAAAACGAAACGCCGTTCACATCATTTAAACTTACCTGCAGCTTTCTTCCCTACCGAGTATTATCATCAGAGTCTGCTGCTCCACTCAGGAGATTTATTGCTCATTGTTATGTGTCCAGCTTCTACTGTCAAAGCTTTGTCTTCTTTTTTTGTAATTACCTTTTGGGGGCTTTTTATTGCCTTTATTGACAGGACAGATTGTAGAGTGAAAGGATGGGGAGAGAGTGTGGAAGATGCAGCAAAAGGAGTTGTCAGAGTTGAACCTGAGGCTGCTGCTGGGGAATCAAGCTAAGTGAATGCTCCACTTAGCACTGGGGCAGCTAAAACACCAGATTCTTCCCTCACAAGCTCGTAGGGACCAAAAACAGAAGGTAAATATTGAACGTACATCATCAAGTGGTCAAATTAATGATAATGTTGCTTCCTAATTACAAGCACCTAGGGTGTTATAACGTCAGAGATGTTTTCACAAAAAAAGACATTTCCTCTTA